CAAAAATCTCTAGATTGATCAGAGTTAGACATTAACACCGTTGGATGCCGGCTGTGGTCGGGCGTTCGCACGCAGGACCGGTCCTGGGTTCGAATCCTGCTAGGTGGATGCGCACTGCTGATGAGTCCTATATCAGGACGAAACGGCCGTCCGATACTTCCAGGTTTCTGGTGGTCTAATAATGATTGACTGATGATTTCATTGTGTAAAAACACTCATCTCTATAACTCTAATTGAAAACTTCTAAAGAGTATATGGAAATACAAGTGTAGAATTTAATACTTTTGAATATAATTATCACACATCCAATGTCACTGAAAACTTCTAACCACCGTTTACGATTGTCTCGCAAACCCCCGACCACGTAGCCTATACCTACTAAAGTAGCAGTCTAATGGTCAATCATTTCATGGATTTGTGCTAGTTTTCTTTCAGCTTACCCCTACAGACATGGCTCGTCGAGGTAGTCGGTGGTTAGGTATATGTAACACGAGTCCCGAACACCTCAAATAATGAAGATTTATTACTGCACCAACTGATTTGCCATCTTTGCCTAGTACCCTTTTTCTAACATTAGCATTGCTTACTCAGCTGTTCCACGAAATACGAGAAATGCTTCGAGGTCACCTATGATCGACTACTAGTAACCTACGGATATTCTTTATTTTTAATGGACATCTGTAAAGAAGGACGGAGCGAATGGCTGCGCAGTGGACCCGTCACTTGGTTGGTGGATGGACGTCATAAGTTACGCAAGTTGGCAAAAGCCAGTCGGGCCTTTTGTGTCCCTACTTAGGTCTTGTCACACACCAGGCCACCATTACTGAGGAGACTCCCCAGATAAGTGAGGCAGTCTACACGCTCAACCACTTCACTACTTATCACTTGTCCAGGTTTCAATGAGTCAATTCTAAAGCAATATTTTGCATTTTGAAGGGGAGAGTCGCATCCCGAACATGGTCGCATTGTTCATTAGGGTATTCAGAAGACTCTGCATTCAGTTAACGTCCTCACCAAACAGGACGATGTCATCGGTATATTCTAACTCAACAAGCAGATCTCTTGGCAGAGGGTCAATTCCTGAAAAGTCAGATGATGAAAGTGTCGTATCTAAAAGCATACCAATAAAAAAGTTAAACAAGAATGGAGAAAGTGGACAACCCTGAAGTAATCATTTCCAATGACAGATCGCCATAAACTTTGAAATGACTTCAAATCCACTACGAAACATCATTAGCCTGAAGAATAAAAATTTGCCTTGCTGATGAGTGCTAACCAGTACGAAGTCTGGGTTCAAGTTTTTCTGTTGACTATCTCTGACAACCGAATAAGCACTTAATATGATTTTTATTTCGGTAATAACAGCATCAGCAAATAAGTGGAGATGAGTGAGGTTATAGATACTAGTTTCCAGATGGAGTGGAATACTGACTGAATATGAAATACTATTTTCGAAGTACATTGACCTTAATTGATCGCCTTTAATCAATGATTAGCAGATTTCAGGTTTTGAGAACGAAGTTAATTGTTAGTTGCGTGAAACATCGAATATGACATGTATGTCGGCTCAATTCGTTATTTCACACCAGCGTGGTGAGATAAATTTATCTTATAGTAGTAGAAAAGGTCAGGTATGAGATTAAGGCACTCGATTGCTAAGAGGGAGATGAAGTTGAATAATCGTGAACGATTCTAAGCCGTGTTAATCGGTCTCCAACAACTGAGTGGAACGTATGCAGGTAGTCGGCACCTATTTATGTCTTATCTCAACAATCGATCACTTTACTAACTGACGCTACGTTTAGGTTTGGTCGTATCCAGCCTTCTCCCAACATGTCTCTACATCTATCAAGGCTCACCGTCTAGAGAATTACACAATTTAGGATAAAGCATACACCTCTAGGATATACTTTTTGTAGTTATTGAGTAACTGGCAATGAAGAAAGAACAAGCATATGAATAATTGCATTATAGCTGCGAGAAATCAGTTGATAAAGGTGTTATCTGACAGAACCAGGTAAATTTTAGTAAGCCCTGAAGTACGAGCAACCTACGAATAGAACTGGAGCCAACAACACAGCTTCTAAGAATAGGTAGCAGCCAACATAACAGTGATACTTATAATCAGTATGGTACTATTAAACATAAATTCGAGCTACTAATGTTCACCGGTGTGATATAGCATGATATCACGCTGACTTAGTCTATTAGTATGCCACACCCTAGGGACCAGGTCTAGTTATTTCACGTTAGTTGCATCCTGTTGTCATGCTCTTGCAGTCAGCAATGTTTTCTTGTTGTAATTATCTTGATAATTAATATCCAAAAGCGAGCCTCGTTGAATTCACACAAATCAGAACTTGGACATCTCTATTCAAAATAATGAACACATGAGAACAGGATCGAAAACACTAGTACAACTTACGAATACCATGTAAATCAGTAATTGAGGTTAGTTAAACGGTGCTCCCTCGCGATGCTTATGTAATACTAGCACATGGGTTTCGATTCGCGATATTGTAATCACGAGACAAATTACAGAATGAAATATAGTTTAATAGTATTAAAAGATGTGATATGCAGTAACAACTTCAAGCGAAATAATCCTGTTGCATTTTAACTTAAAGAAATACTCAGTAGAGTAAACCACTAAATCACAGGATACTACCACGTACATGTAAGTGCTCATTTGGACACTAGCCTTAAACTGTTGATTGTATCAAAAAGTCTATCAGGTCTAAACAACACAATCTAGTGTTTCTTGTCAACTACCTATGAAACTGAACAAGAGTACATCTAGTGATACAAAATACTCATATAAACCACTTTCCGGCAAACACTTGGTATAAGTAAATTATTGCCATATTTCAATCCATAGAATGATATTTCTATTGATATGATAAGTCTTAAAAGTTAATCAACTACAATTTGCCATCTAAAAACAACAAAAAGTATGAGTAAAGCCAGATCTATAGAACGCAATATGAAATCACGCATTTTATCAGTGATGACTCAAATTACAAATATTGAAACTCGTAAATTAGTTATCGACACATCTAGTTTGTTCGGAAGTTTCGGGCAGAAAGTTAGGGGCGGCCAGACCAAAACATGGCACAAATCCATGAAGTCACTGACAAGTGGACTGAGTCATGTCGGTAGATGTAGACTACCTGGTTGGGGTCCGCGAGACGAAAGTCATCAATGGTTAGAAACCTTGAACGACATGGCTCAAAATCGTTTGCAATGGCGCAGGTGCATCCACTCTTTGAGCTCTCTCAAATCCTAATCTTCTGGATTCGTCAACACCTCTACCTTTGTCTTTCTAACCTTATCTCACTAAACTATACTTCTTGAATAATATCTTCGAACCCTAGTCTTCTTTATTAAAATTAATACCTCTACTATCTTTATCACTATGGGATTTGATTTGACATTTGCATCTCTGTGCTAATGTGGTATGGCAACATGAACTTATGTACATACGTACGAAGTTCTACGTTGCAAATGACTGACTGTAGAACAGACGTCTTAACTGTTCGATTTTCTTCAGATGATCGGATCGGTGGTACAGACAATTAGTTACCAATTTTGTTCACCGAGAAGTGTGCGTTAATCGACGCCGATCATATGTTAGCTACTGACCGCAGGGAGGAATGAAAGCAGTGATACAAACACGCCATATTTCAATTACCAAAACGCGAAATCATTTTTGAAAATACACTTTCAAGATCTATAAAAGCAGACCTCCAACTTTGGCCGTTATCCAAGGTTAAAAGGTCTCATAGTGGAAAAATGCCGTAACAATGAACCAACAGAACATTCAGTGATGATAGGGATGACGCATGCTTCCGATTTTATCAACCAATAGCCAACAAAAGACTTAACTTATATACTGTGAATCTCATGAAGCCTAAATTGCATTATTTAGTGGTATACCATAATCAATTGAGTTTGAGTAACGAGGGCACATATAATCAGTCGCATGTGCAGTACAAGAATCAGATAACCTTCAGTGATCATGACCAAATAAACCAGAGCAAAGAGTTAAGCTGCACTAGGATGACTTGCAAATTAGAGTAGTAGTTATGAGGCTATGAACTGTACACTGTGAGTATAAACAGGGGGTAGTTGTATAGTTCTGATTCTACAGTTTTTATATCAGTAATTGTTTGCTCAATTGCAATGATTCTTAATGATGGGTTGTAACTGAAAGCTCGACGACTGCCGACACAAAAGTATGGTGCGACATCTCTTCAAAATAACCCAGTGCCTTATGATCAGCAACTTCTAAGCAATTGTTCGTGCTGTTACATAGTGGGTAACATGTCACAATTTGCATCTTGTGTTGTAATATTTGATACATGTTTACTAATTTGTATTTGCTATAACACTACAATATTTCATTTATATGAACCGATAATTATCTAATGAACAGAACTAAAGGTGCTAGGTGTAGACTTAATGACTTGAGATAGTCAGCTGCAACGTGGAACTTGGTATGTACGTACATCAATTCTAGTTGCCAAAAAAATTGGCAGAGACAAATGGAATTGTCAGTTCAAGAATAGGTAGTAGCAGTATTAGGGATAATCGAAGGTATGATGTCAGAAGGTTAATCCGGTGAAATCAATTTAACAGAAAAAGTCATGAGGAGTTCAGATGAGGATATAAGAGAATACAAAGAATGAATCTATCACGGACTTTGCATCACCAACCCCAACCAGTTATTCTACACCAACTGACATGACTCAGAACAAATGTCAATGACTTAATGGATTTAGGCCATGTTTTGGTTTGGCCGCTCCTAACTTTCTTCTAGCTTATTCCAAAACTAGATTACATCACTCGTTGAGGCAGTCAGTGGTTAAGCTTACGTTAGTTGAGTGGTAAAATGTGTTGATTCTGTTTGATGGTTAAGTGCTTATTAGTGCGAAGTCACTTGATCACTCTCCGGATCGCATAAACTTTCGTATAGTTTATATATGGAAGGAAAACTAGTCTACGAGCAAGGATTATTTTAATAATAGACAGTAATCATAACATATTCAGATGCGGAATTGAATAAGACAATTAATGGCCATTATAAAACAGCAAAAGCATCCACCACAAGCTTTATTGTAAAATTATTTACATCTTGTTTTCAGAATATGGTGCTGTTGGTAAAACTTCTTCTTTAGCGGCCAAGATCGTGACGGTGTCAGGCAAAGGTTTCCGTGGACCCTTTTTGCCAGAACTATCGTGGTCCAACATAATTTTCACTTTGATTCCTAGTATACCTAAAGAAAAACATAGATCAATAAGATCCGTTCCCTCCTACCTAGCAGCTAAAACTACTGGTATACAACTCACCTTGTGGAAGCTGAACATGACGAACAGCCTTATCGATATAATTATTTACTGGGTCTCCAGAATGAATCATGAGTCCATCACAAAATTTCATCGCTTTCGCTCTTTGACCCTTGATTTTTCCAGAAACAATCACTTCAGCACCTCTTGCTCCAGATTCCATGATGAAACGTAATATGCCATAACATGCTCTACAAAACATCTTATGGGAAGACACACACTTACTTTCGCACTGGCAAACCGTATGTCAGTTTGTATCTAAGTGATTCCGCTTGTGCTATTGCACTTAAACCACGAAAAGTCATTTTTTCAGCAAATAGTCCTAAGGTACCGTCGGGAAACCCGAAACGCTTTTGCAAGACTGAGGTGAGCTCTCTGATACGGCGCGAGCCCTCACCAAGAACACTTTGAGTTTTCGTGGCTAATATGATAACTTCAGTATATTTACGGCTTTCACGAACTTGGAAACCACTATAGCCGTCGTCAGCCAGTTCACGTTTTAAGAACTCATCTAATTCAGCCTTAAACACTCCAGCTTTTATAAACTTATTCGGTAAGTAGTAAAACACATAAAAGTGAACAAACCTTCCTCTTTAGAGATATTTTCCCTGTATTCGTCATTATGAAACCACGATTTTCTTTCTGATTCGCGCCCTCACGTCGAAATTAATTGTAGTGCGCATTCTTAGCATGAGGACGAACAAACACATGCAAAAGCAATATTTTCACAGTAATGTTTTTAACTCGTATGCGCGAATATAACGTATATTTGCATTACTTTTACTGCTAATAGTCCGACAAGTGTAGCATGAGTAAATCAGAGAACTAAATTAGACTTTCATAAGCCACCAAACAACAGTTGTCTAACTTTGCATAAATTCCAATTTTAGTTGCCTGTTAATTGACTTATTGCTATTATTTTAAACTGTTTGTTTTAAAAGCCGGTTTAAAGCTTCCCGTTGAAAACAGTACTTACTGAAGTACAAGATCTGCTTATGATCCTCCGTACTCTAAACTTTAAGTGAGAAAGCCAATACCTGTGGTTCGACCTCTGGAGCTAACTCATGATCACACAACCGATTCCTAGCATATGTAGTGCAGCATGCAAGTTTTTTGTCGATGTTGCAGACATTTATAATCGGACAACACTTTTGTCTGTAACTCCTTTCAGACCGAAAATACCCATTTCCAAGCCAAACGAAAAGTCAGGAATGAAGATCGAAGATATTTTCGAACGATGGTAAAGATAACAAGGTGTGGGAAAATTCATCTTGATAGCTGATATACGTCGTTCTATGTATCGCACGGCGATCTGGCACAAATTCGTGACAGATGTCTTTCTGCTAGGGTGTGTCCACTAACACTAATGAGGTCCAGATTAGTGTATAGACTTACAGAACTATTTGTTTTAAGGATTTGTTTACTTGTGAAGCCAACCCCTGAGACAGGAATTAGTCAGAGGATTAAGTCGAACGTGTGTGACGTTGACAAACACTCTTCTAATGGCCTGCATAGTTTAGCAGCATCTTATCGTCCTTTCATACTCTGAAGGGCCATGTGGTATATAATATTATACCAAAAATAAATAACAACAAAGTCAGTTTTTCTCGTTCGTCTTATGCCTTTCGCCTTTTCCAGTAGTCTTGGAAAATGAAAAATGATAATATGTTGATGCGTTTTGAAATGCACTCATGGTTTTGTAAGTGAACAACACATTCAGAGATAAAACTAGTTTATGTATGTGAATACAGCATGCGATAGCGATAAAGATAACACGAAAGGTTATTTGACTTTTTCAAAACTTAAATACATATATAAGCATTTTAAAAATACCTCTACCTGCTTCTATAACAAAATATATTTAAGCGAATAGGAAGAATTATCTTTTCGGTCTTCGACACAACTAAAATAGGAAATGCAAAGAGTAGTATTGGTTTTACATTTACGAAAAAAAACAGGATTGGTTATATAAGAGCATTATTATAATCAGTTGTGCCATTGAAAGTATTCTTGAATATTTTTTGATTAGTATTTTAGTTTTACGCAGTGACCTTAGTGAATTTTGAGTATATACTGACATTATACTACAGTCTCGTTGCTTCTTCTATTTGAGGTCACCATCTGGTTCTGGTTTCTCTGTACCTTCGCTTATCTCTGGCATATTTTGGTATTTCTTTGATACCATGAGATCGCTGGCAAATACACCCATTTCATCTGGTTTTCCCAGTCTTCTTCATTCCTATATAAGATCTGGGAAAATATGTGAGACCCGAACCAAATTCGTACATAAACGTGTTTATAGTCTTGTACCTCGAACATCTGTAGAGTAGTAGAACACGGAATAGAGGATAAGGAAGAGATCAGCTTTTACGTTTTCCTACATGCGGCAGTCCTTAAGATTCTCTAGAAATCTTACGGATCCGCCAGAGTGCGTCGTTCTAGACCGCTTTTCGGAAACCGACGGAGATTCGTTGTGGTTGTTACAGATGGTGTCGTATTCATAGGGGTCTAGTCGTCCTTCTGTGTGTTACAGACAGACAGAGAATTGGTTTCATTCTGAGTAGGTGTCTTTTACCTAGTCGATGCTGGCATTGTCGTTACTCCCCTTCTTATAATTCTCATAGCACTTAGGTTCACGATAAAGAACATTGTTGGGTCCTTCATTTGCGTCTTCGATGGATTGGTGTATTGAATCGCAACCTACGAAAACATGTGTACAAAGTTTTAAGACTGGTTGGATGAGTATATCAGTCTCCTGAGGTCGAGTAGAAACAGGTTTGGCTGAATGCATTCTATCTGAAAGCCTGCTTGTATGGCAGTTTAGATGTACATCCATTAAAACAGAAAGGATCTGCTAATTCTCATGTTAGGTGGCGTATCAAGATGTACACGATTTCGGCTAAAGTACACGTGTAGGAAATCGTCAGTTCACGGTGATAAGCTCTTAGCTAAAAGTGAAATTGTTCTACCTAACCGTCAAAGTAAACTGCAAGATGTAACCCTATTTTTCGAACTCTTGAGTAGATTACTTGTGTGAAGATGCTCTGAGATAAACATTTTGGGGCTTATGCCCTGTAAAAATGGTGAACTTCCTGGAAGTTTCGTACAGCACAATGCTGTAAGGTTGAAGCAAGATCAGCGATTGAGGGTTGTGTCATGATGGTTGTTCGGTCAATCGCATGTAATAGCCCGAGGAACATAAGAAGAGTTATCCAATCCTGTAAATGTTGATTATAATGACTCAGATCAGCTTTCGAACTTGGCTATTAGAATGGAAAATTGTGCAATGGTTTTGGAACAAAAGAATTATACTGCGGACTGGAACTCCTTAGTAACCTCAGAGAGAATGGTGACGCTTTTGCCTCGACCTGTTCAAACTCAGCGGTCAGAACTGACGGTTAGATGGACTGGAGAAGATAGGGAGCCGACGTTTGCCGAGCTCACCGAAGTTATAGCATCTCGTGCAAGAGTAGCCAGTAGTAGATTTGGACGGTTGGCGAATCGCCTAAAAACGGGACGTGATTTGAAGATGAATCGTCACTTGCAATCGGGACAGAGGAATTCTTCGTCCGTAAAAGCTAAGTGTAGTATCTGTTCTGATGACCACACTATTTATAAATGCCCCAGATTTTTAGCGCTCACAGTTCAAGATAGATGGTCTCAAGCAAGGAAAATGGGCATGTGCTTCTTCTGTCTGGAGCAAGGGCATAAGGCTAATGAATGTAAACTTACAAAGCGATTTAACGTCGACAAGTGCGAGAAAAAACGTCACACTCTGTTGCACTATGAATCAACTGTCAGAAGCTTGAATAAAAAACCTGATACGCAGAACTGTTGTGGATTTACTAGATCACTAAGCAGTCAAGTATGCTTAGGATTGATTCCCATAAGATTAAGATCAGGAAATTTCGAAGTCGTGGGATATGCTCCTTTTGATAGCGGCTCTGATGCAACGTTTGTGAGATCAGATTGTTTGAAGTCGCTCGGGCTGAAAGAAGACCAAGCGTTAGTGGTAGTTTAGACTGTAGGGGGTGATAGAACGACAAAGGTTACGAATACTCCTTCTGAGGTATTTTCTTTAGGTCGGCCTGAACATGCTGCGTTTGAAGCAGCTTTGATTGTATCAAGTATATCAGGGCATAAGCCAACAAAGTCAGCAATGGAGGACTTAGTTAAGTGGCCACATTTAAGTGATAAACCATTAGAGAGTTTAAACTGTGAAGACGTACTACTGTTGATTGGTTGCGACGTCTCGGGAGCACATTGGGTGTTGGATCGGCAGTTAGGTGGAAGGAAAAATCCATACGTTGTGAAAACGTTGCTAGGATGGACTGTTTTTGGACCTTCATCATACCCGGGATTTAGAAAAAGCGTTGTTAATCATATTAGTAAAGTGCAGCCTTAGGAAGACCAAATACGTAAGCTTTATGATGTGCAGTTTGCTGGCGTCTATTCTAGTGACAAATCAGTATCTGTAGAAGACAAAGCGGCCATAGAGATCGCGGAGATGGGCACGCGCTTCAAAAATGGTCATTTTATAGCTGTGACACCATGGAAACAGAACCCAAACATGAAGGTGGTGAATTATCAAGTAGCAAACAGTAAAATACAGAGTTTGAAGCGTAGGTTGCTGAGGGATGACTATTAACACGTTAGATAGACCAAAAGTATGGAGGGTAATTTTACCAAAAGCTACGCGGAGAGGGTCCCTGAAATACAAGTGAGGCTGGATTATCGTCATCGATGGTATTCACCTCATCATTCAGTGTTAAACCTGAAAAAATCAGAAAAGCTGAGAGTGGTCCTTGATTGTGCCGCCAAGTTTACAGGGTGTTACGACCCAGTTTTGCTCCTTCCGTTATTGAAGTACAGTATGTCGATCTATTTGCAATTCACAAACCCGAATTAACATCAAAACCAAACTCCAAAGTTGGGTACCAAAGTTTATTTGTAATTCACAAATAATGGACCAAAATGTCGTTCGTCAATTTACAAATAGTCGACCGATGTCGTTCTAACAACAATAATTATAATAACTACAAATACCTTCAATTTTATAGGTTCCTGGAGCAAAAACTCCAAATGACCAAACCAAGACAAACAGAATTCAAAATGGCCGAAAATAATCAATCAAACAAGTTCATAAGTTAAGTAAAACAAATATGTCCAAAAAACACAGTGAAATTAATGATATTTATATAAAGGTTTTGATCAGCCAAATGTCTTCATTTCTCCCGTAACACTGGGGTTTCCCTAAATGATATGATTTAACAAGGACCCGACAGCACTGCTGATCTAGTGTGTATATTATTGCGTTTTCGCGGGGAGGCAGTTGCAATCTCTGCAGATGTTCAGGAAATGTTTATGCAAGTAAAGGTCCCTGAGTCTGATCGAGGAGCTTTAGGATTGCTATGTTGGCAGGAGGGAGATATATTGAAGGAACCATCCGAATTTCAAATGACCTCTCATCTATTTGGTGCCACATCATCTCCGTTTTGTCCGAACTTTGCCATGAATAAAACAGCCCAAAGATTCTCGGATGATTATGGACGTTATGTCATAGATGCTGGCAAGAACAATTTTTATGTTGATGATTGCCTGATATCCTTTTCCATATGTAATCAGGCAAAGAAGATCGTTGGGCAGATAAGTGAATTATTATGTAGAGGAGGTTTTA